CCCCCCCATCGCCGAATGTGAAAACATTTGGTTAGGCGGGATGCCCAGTCGCCCAATGGGACAACCTTGTTTGGCACAGCGAATGCAAGGGTGACGACGACCAGCTTCAGCTTGTTTATCCTTGTGAGACGTAGCATCGGCCGGCGATATCGCTCCGCCCCGGCAACAGGCGAGGTCCATGGTCTTAACGAATACATACGACATGCGGCGACATGAGTACAAGTCCCCCCCCCCCCCCAACACCTTGGCAAGCGCAACTCACCATGAGCTTGTTCCCCTGCTTCTTGTGCCTGGCACAGTATCGTGGTCGGAACCGCGGGTCGCCCCAGCAAGCCTCCAGGGTGCAGCCTTCAACCTCGCACGCTTTCACTGGGCCCGAAATCTTCTCGCCGCCCCCACAACAGAGGTTGAAAAAAGCGAGAGGAACAATCCGACCCATTCGTTGAACCAGGTCGAAAAATATTAGCAGTGCAACATGGTTGACATGTACAAATAGAGGTCGCCCGATTCGTTCAAAACCAGCCAATCAGATTAAAAAAGGAACAAAGTCAAGCCACGTATATGTCCTTCGTGATGGGGTGAATGAATTGTAGTCAATCAAAGAAGGGTGTCAGCGATGAACTCATCCGCAAACACTGTTAAAAGCTCTCTTTCGCCCATATACCACCCGTGGTTGGAGCGCACACAAGTACGGCGATAGCTGCAACAGAACCCCAGCCTGGTGTCTTTCCCCACACGAACCCACCCCCCTCACGGACATTAGCCCCTCACCTTTGCCGCCGAATCAGAATCAGACTCCTCCTCCAGCGCCGATTCGTAGTTGTCGAGCTTCTCTTCCGCCGGGATCCCCATTCGCCCCACGCCCGCCCCGCCGCCGGCAACGCCGTCGCCGTTGCCCACCGGACCACTCCCCGCGAGATCAGCAACCGAGGGGGGCGCCAGCGTGCGAGACGCAGCAGAGACAGAGCCGGGCTGCTCCTGCTGCTGTCGCTGGGACGCGGTCGTCGACCCTTGCAGGTAAGGGGGCTTGTAGGACTCCACGAGGGATTTGACGGTGTTCTGGGTTACGCTGCCCGAGGTTTGAGCGGGCGGGGCGGCCGTGGTGGAGGGGGGTGCGGGGCTCGGCGCCGGCGCGGGAGTAGTGTGGTTCTGCGCGGGAGAGAGGGAAGGAGGGAGGGAGGGAGGGAGGGAGAGAACGACAGGAACAACGACAGCGACAGAGACGCAGAGAGAGAAACACAGAGAATGAGAAAGGGAAACCACGTATGCAACCGTGACTGACTTGTGGGGTTAGGCGGAACTGAGGACGGGGGCAACAGGAGTACCAGCTTCTACCACCTAAACACCCACCTCTGTCCTCCTCTGCCACAACCGCGTGGAAGAAGGCACCGGAGAAGGCGGTGGCCACGTGCCAACCCTAGCGGCCACGCTGGTGCCGCCGCCGCCGCTCGTGCCCTCTTCCTCCGCGCTGCCGTCGCCGCCGCCGCCGCCGCCGCCACCCCCCGCGGTCGCGGACAAACGCCTGCTTCTCGTCGAAGGCAGGTTCGTCACCCCCGCCCCCGACTCGCCGACCGGCGTCACCGCCTCCTCACAGAACAACTCCCCGGCCTCCGCCCCCAGGCCCTGCACCTGCAGCCCCCTGGTAGGCCTTAGCGGCGACGGCGCACGCACCGCGGTAGAGAGGCCCGCGCCGGTGGGGGTGATCCTTCTCAGCGCTCCTCCCCCGGTGCCTACGCCAACGGGCGTCGTCGCCGCCGCCGTGCCGCCGGGGGGGACCGGGTTACCCCGCGGCGACGCTTCTAACCGAGCCACCGACGACATTACGGACCCGCTACCGCTGCCACCGGCGCCGGTGCCGGTGCCGCCGCCGCCGCCAGCGCGTTCCAAGGCCGCACCGACCCGCCCTCCGCCTGCCCACGCCTCCTCCCCCGCAGCCGCCGCAGCCGCCGCAGCCCCTCCTGCATACGCCGCTCCTTGCCCGTTCTGCCACAGGATAGGGGACTGTTTGCCCGGCGGCGAGATAGTATTTTGGTTATCCCGTACTGCCAAGGCGCCGGAATCATCCCGGCTCCCCCGACGGAGCCCCCCCACCCCCCCCGTCGCCGACCCTTCCCTGTTGCGTAGCCTCCCGCCTACCCGGTTGCTGCACTCGAATGTCCCCTCGAGTTCCCCACCGTCCTCCATCGTCTGGTGTCATCATCGTGTTCGATATCGGGATTCGCCCAATCGTGTGCCGCGGTTACGTGTAGGCGAAAGAAACGTGGTACGAGGGAAGGGCTGTGGGTGAGAGGACGGGCTGGAAAATGATTCGCTCATCAGCGGGACTGGCACTTTCCACACACTTCCCTGGCCAGAGCCTTTGCATGTGCTTCTTCCTTTCTTCCTTGACCCACAGGCAAGGGGGGGGGGGTATGGAAGGGGGCAGATCATCGCTTGCACCTCACCGCTGCGTGCCCTGAAGGATGGTACAACAACGTTAATAAACAACAAGAACCATAATGCCCACGGCCGCTAGTTTCAAGCACAGTCCGTTCCCATCACCGCCAACCGTGACGATATATACTGTATCATATCACGACAATACAGCCAGCCACGTACAGCACAAGCGTATCAGGCAACACTTTCGCCCGTCGCCATGTCGACCACCCAAAACACTTACTTCGTACAATAATATGGATACTTCCATCTTTGCAATATGGTACTTCCATTTTAACCACCACCGAGCAAGCATCTAGACAAAAAAAAAAAAAAACGCACCATCTTCTTGTAGATCACGTTGCCAGAGACTGATCCCGTGGAACGGATGGAAACCTTCGCGGAAGACTCCAGCGACCCGTCTAACGACCCGTACACGTCCGCCTCCTCTACCTGCAACCGGGGTGGGTGGGTGGGGGTAAAGTCAATGATGCATCTGCGCCTGTTTCTGCTTCCCGAAGATAGCAGTACGTAAGCCCGGGGGGGCGATATTTAGTCGTTGCTTGCGGGGGGGTCAACCATCCTTGCATCGAGCTAGCTAGCTCTTGTACACAACCTCGTCAAGCGGGGCGGAGGAACAGGGGGGCAACAGCGCAATCGGTGCACTAGTCTCCATGTAGCGTTGCCCTCTTCTGCACCACCTCGATAACCTCCTTGCCTGCGTCAATGCTACCACATTGGAGCCCAACCCCTCGCCACAAAGGGAAGTCAACGTCAACTGCGATGAAAAAGTTCTGCGTACCTTGGCGTCGCCAATAAACATCCCGCCTTCCTTTATGGTCATCCGCTGAGTCTCTACGAAACCCTGTTTCAGACCGGACGGGAGAGAAAGAGAGAGAAGAGTGTGCGTGAGAGAGAGAGAGAGTCAGAGAGGCAGCCATAGAGACAGAGAACACGTGGTATGTGCGTGTTCATGACACTTCATACGATGGCATCACCGTGCCTAAACATGTCCGTGCGGGGAGGGAACACGCACTGACTCTGGGCAACAATTGCCGAGGAGTGCTTGCAACCACACCAAAAATACTCTGCGTCCCCTGTCTAGACAACAGCTCCAGACGCACTTGCGTAAGACTCTGAATTCATGAAATTCATTGCTCATCTATCCCGGAAGAGATGAACTTGATGCGTTTTCAGTAAGAAAAAACAAGTAGCTAATTGTGGTGTTAATGCAATCAGGTACGCTGCTTGCTGCTGCCACTGTTTGAATCTCATGGCTTGGTATGAGCTTTAGAACACATTCTGCGGGCGAAACACAACGTCAGAGAGGGAGAGAGAGAGCGTTCTATCACGCCCAGTTTATCGCCACAAAACCAACCACCCGCAATACGCCGGGTTGTGTATTGTACTGCGTGTAAATGCATGTACACGTGTACTGTAACATGGTGTAAAGTCTCCTCGTCGACATGTACGATGGCGAAAGGGGAGGAACAGAGGGGAAAATACGATAGTACACCCAACGGCGGCATTGCGGCGAGATTGCGCTCGGGTCAATCAATCGGTATTGCAGGACGAGGCCCGCTTCAACCACACGGCGGACTCTTTCATTCATGGCGTGGTCCTCGATGCTATGCTACAGTGTGAGTCAGTGGTCCTCCCCCTGCGTGGTATGCACGTGCTGCCTGTTGAGGTTAAGGTCACCTGTATTTACCCCGAAGCAACTCGCGTCGACAAAGGTTGTTTTTTCATCTCCGGGCTGCTGAATGCACAGCCTGTAGGCCTAACCCGGGAAACTTTGCGTGTTTCACATGCAGCTCTGCATCCATGCACACCTCTACTCTCTCATGCATATCATCATCTCGCCGGGAAACTTATCTACGTGCGGAAAGGCCGGACGAAATTTTCTGGAACTGTACTAGTGTACAGAAGAGAGAGGAAGTGGACGAAAAAAAAACAACTATTTCATGCCAGGAGGCGATACGTAGTCTAATCCAGAGACTGCCGGCGGCGGCATAAAAGTCGCGAGAAAATTGAAAAAAACGATCAGCGAGGGGGGAGGTTTCCCCTTCCGTGCGGAGAAGCGTGTACTGCCGAAACTCCGCGAGATCCAAACAAGAACGGCAGGCGTCAGTCATCGGAGTAGATTTGTCGAGAGAGTCCCAGAAATACATGATGCACTCCCGGAGCAGAACACAACTCCGCGAGTTTCGCCTGCTTCTCAGGTTTTCGATGTGTCTGTCTCCTGTGAGCTATGCCACAACAACTTCGCCAGCCGTTACGTTGACGCGTTTGCTGTGGAGCGACGAGCAACTTTGTCAGGGATGTTCGAATGAAAACTGCTTGATGGCAGTATGCATAACTCGCGCGGAATGCTTTTCTATTCGGCGGGATGCGAGAGGGGTTCAAAAACAGACCAGCAACACCAAGCACAACAGCAGAGGGGAGATACAGACGACTCTTTTGCTCGTAACACGTATTTACCACGACGCGGAAAAAAATGGTTGGGACAGCAGCGAGTCGCTTTGGGTTGCGAACGCACCGGGTCGGGGGTGAGGGAGGGGCAAAAGGCCGCTGCTGACACACCGCCGCCCAAACGTGCCAAGAGAGAGATGAATGCTCCGACCAAACTCATGAAAAAAACGACTGAAAAAAAAAGAAATGGTTGATCGGTTCGAGACTCTCGTGGTTTGTCTGGGTCGCCGATAAACGGTGGTACTACCTACCTATTTCAGTCTGTGCGGGAAAAATCATCATGGTACTCTCTCCATCGGCTGCTCTCCGTGCTACGAGGGAAGGGTAAGGGTGACCCGGGTACCCTTGCAGTTCTGCCTTTTAGGCACGTTGCCGATCGATGGGCCCAAAAAAACCTAGAACGTTTTCACAAAAACAAAATACAAGCTGCAGCAGCAGTTTGCGAAAAAAGGACCGACAACCCGCACGAACAAACACCTTACCTGTAGTCGGCCGCACAGGACGACCGTGTTGCACTCCATCACGTCCCCGCGAAACCGCACGTTCGCTCCGATCTTGAGCATCTTCTTGCTCGACACGGCAACCACGGCCCCGCCGCTGCTGCCCGTGGCGGCACCTAGTGTGTCGGCGGAGGCGGCCCCGAATCGAGCAGGGCTTTGCTCTCTTGACTTCGGTGCCGTAAAGCCCGATCGGAGGCTGCTGCTGGCCCCCCGGCTGCTGGTCGAGTTGTTCGAGAGCTGGGACCTCGTCGGGGAGTGCTCCGGCGGCGACGCCTGCTGGCCGTCGTCCTCTGCCGCGGAGCTTCTCCAGCCGGTAAACCTCTTCATGGCCTGTCCACTAACCTTGCTACTACCGGCCTCTCTCTCGGTCGGTACACGTACAGCCCGGCCCCCGCGCCAAACAAAAAAAAGCTCTGCCGCTCTCTCACACCTCTTTTCCTCTCTCTCTCTCTTCTCGTTTAAGGCGATTAGGGCTGGCTTCGGATGTCGTTGCGAGCAGGCGTCGCCGCCACTCCTTCCTCGGTGCCAACGATTGCCCACAGACGGCTAACGAGTCTCTGTTGAAGGACTCTCTCCTCCTGCGTCGTGTTAGATGGCTGGTCTGTTTCTCTCTGTTCTCTGTCGGTTGGTACCCCACGCCCCCTCCAAAATTTGATTTTTTGGCATATCCCCATACCTTATTCGCCCATAGTATTTTCTGCGAAGCCCCCGCGGGACGATTCAAAACGATTGATCATCAATCATCGGACTTGATCGATCGCGGATCGCACTGACTGCACTGCTCCTGTGCTCGCCAACAGCTACGAGTCATCCCTGTTCATTCGCTTGAAAAGGTGAATAGCTGGGCAAAGGTTGTGATTATGTCTTAGTAGGTTGCCCTGAACAGTTTTGCATAGTCACCTCTTCCTCCCGTGCAAAGTGTCTTGTAGAGGCTGCTCTCTATTGGAAACACAGCCAGCCTTGTGCTAAAAAAAATGTGCAAGGCACCACTTCGCCTGCAATAGCTTACTGATGCATTTCCATACTGCGACCCACTTCTCTCTCTTTGCCCCTCTCGTCAACCATTCCTACCCCCCCCCTGGCAGGCTTCCGCTCCCTCTGTTCCTCCCTCTCGAACGAAAGTCCACCCTGCGGATCCACTACTAAATCAATACTACCTGCTGGCTTCCGTGACACCACGAGGATAGAGCAGCACCAGCACCAGCACCAGCACCAGCATGCTTGCCCGTGAGGAGGAAGTGGATGTCGAGGTATGTCGAGGTACTACTGTACACGCCTAGTCTTGAAACCCACCAGCGGTTGGTGCTACTACTAGATGCGTGGTGCGTTCTCCTTACAGGCAGGCTATTTTTTTTTTTTTTCTTCTTAACCCTTTCGTGACTGGGTTCTTTCTGGATCTTCCGCGTTTTTTTTTGTTCTGCCGGGACCGAATAGACCGATGAGTCATGAGACACACACACACGACACCCGCACTTGAACTTTTGCACGTTTGTTTGCGCACCAACAGGTTCCCACATGGGTCAACCGCACGCACCCCATGGTGCCACAAAGGTTTAGTGCCCAACAGCAGCGTAACCCTCACGTGAAGAATGTGATGAGTGACCGATAACTACACTGACTGCTGTACTGCTGTATGTAGGTGCTGTCGGAAACCGGAGGAGAGAGAGAGGAGAGGGCGCCGTATTTCTTTACCCCAAACACGATTACATGGTGATAGTCTACATGGATACAGCAGCAGCAGTAGAGATACATCGCATGCACAGCAGTTCTACCCCGCCGCCGATGCAGCACACTGGCGCAAGGCATGGCACCGCCTCCAATGCCACTTGGTTGGGTGATATATCCAGCGGAGACAAGAAGCACACACGCACGCGGTTTGTTTGTTGGATGCATGCATGCGAAACGAAATGAAAAAGCACCAGCACCAGCAGCAGCAGCCCGCCGCAGCAGCAGCAGCAAGCACGAGCCGCGCGAGAGATAAACTATGCCTTGTGGTGGCGGTTGGTTGAAGACGGACAAGGAATACACTCGAACACACACGCGCGCAGGAGAACTCGGGGAGAGGCCTCGTAAGCTTGGCCTTCAGTTCTGCAACCACATTCCGAAGGCAAGGAAGAAGGCACACAAGTCAACAGCGAGAGCATGCTTTATCGTACCAGATAAAGACAGGTTTTATCATGCCTCCTATCGTGCCTGTAGTCACGAAAACCCTCTCAAAAACGCGAAGGCACGGGGGCGGGTGTCTCTTTTTGACACTTTGTCACTCCGCCACAGCCTGCCAGCACAACAGCAGCAACAACAGCAGTACAGCAGTACCAACATCACCACCATGGACCCAGAGGACATCGCTCAGTTCTGGGAGGCCAAAGCGGCTGAGTGGGACCCAGTGAATGCTCCCCTAGTTGTGTGGGACGAGCTGGTTCTCATCGCGGACACAACACCCCAGCTCCTGCCCGAGGCGACATCTGCTGCAGCCAGGGCGGTTGGGAAGCGGTTCTGCTGCCACGGGGACAACGAGCCCCAGCCCCTCCCAGACATAAGGGACCTGGCAGCAAGGAGGACCGCAGCTCAGCAGCACCCCGGACTCTGCGGGTACCACCACTCCCGCTGGATCGGGGATGTAGATTTCTCAAAGGCAGCCGAGAGGAGCTCGGGGGGGCAGGTCACAGCGAAGCGTCTGAGGAATCAAGTAAGTATAGTACAATTGATATTTGGCAACCCCACAAATGATGGGCTGCTGACCCAGATCGGTTGTGCACCTGCTGTGCGCGTTGCACCTCGTGTATTATAGGTGTGCTCCACGTTCAGCTTTGTTTGACATGGTGGCTTGTAAGAGTGCTACAACAGTACACTAGGCCCACAAACTTCAACCTGGACTAACGTGCGTGTGTTTTTCGAGCCTGCGGATCAATGCAGCTGCCAGACAGATCATATCACCACACGAAGTAGACAGGAAAGAGGGATGAGAGACCTGAAAGACGCGTTTACAGCAACCCTATCCCTATGAACCTCCGCAATGCTCAGCAAATGCTCTGGAAAGACAAGCGGCGCCCAGCGCGTCGACTCCCCTTTTGAGACAGATATGGTGTTATCTTCCGTATCAGTTAGGTTGGAGACTCTCCCATTTCGTACGAATAGGCTGGCAGCCCGCAGCTTTGTACTCCCCGCATTAGACAGCAGTAGGGGTAACGATGTACTGGGGAGGCCGAGCATAATTTTCTGTCTTGTCCGAAGTTAGGTTTTGTAATCCGAACGGGCGGTTAGTAGTCCGAACGGAGAAAAAGACGCACGCGCCGCCCCATTGCGTGAACGTCTGTCTCTCACAAGATACTGCATGCCACGTAACGTTTGTTGGCTCTCCATTTTCCCACGAAAGACTGGAGTGCACGCTCTAAAAAAACAAGCCTACGTCGTCGTTTTTTCCCCCGCAACGTGCAGGCTTCGTTCGACGTGAGCACCCGCCTCAACGCGAGGGGTCGTGGCGTTCAAATCACGAGGAGGGACTGCTTCACGCAGGCGTGCCGCGCGGTGTGGCCGGGAGACGAAGCCATACCAGCGGCCATTGCGGAGGCATTGTCGTGATTCTCGAGCGCGTGTTTTAGGCTGATCATGGAGCCTGAGGGGTGGGGTGGGGGGGTGGAGAGGGTTTCGTACTTACAAGAGTTTCGAGCAGAACCTCAAGGTTTGCGCTTGGCTAGTTTGCAGGGCGTCGTGCCCCCGCATGACTTTGAGTTCGCTGGGTTTGTCATTCAATTCGCTGGGGTTATTTGGAGAAAGAGTGCTGCAAGGCACAACTCGGTGGAACAACCGATGGTGCAATGGTGTGATCTGAAAATTCCGTATGTTTCGTCGCATGTTGCAGGCGCACTCGCCGGGAGATGTGTATTGCATTTTCGCAGAGATCAGCGCCTTGGTTTCGAGATGAAGAAATGGAATAAACATGGAACAAATGATCTTGCAAGTATTCACGACTTGATCGCATGAAGGTCTCCGGAATGTCTGTCATTGGCACACGGTTGGATTCCGATGCCGTTTGCGGTCTCTGAACTACTGGTGAGCACCACCGGCACGTGGTGTGTATGACGTTGTCGCACGAAAGGACTAGACTACACCGCACGCAGTGAAAAAACTAAAGTGCCAGGAAAACGTTGTTTATCTAGATGCCGAAGACTTCTTTCGATTTTATCTGCAAACCTTGGTATCTGCAAACCTTGTACACTTCGTACTCCATTCCTTGTCTACGTGCGAACATGTCTGTCGACCAAAGCACGGGATACCGACGCCAAACCTAAGGCTCTTGCCACATAGGTTTCGGGTTAAAAACGACACACAACGAGCGATACACGAGCCGTGGCTAATCGCAACAACACTGACAGTAGTCACAAGCGAATGGGGGCTAAAGGGGGGGGGGCTAAAAACTCACTACCGCAGGTGACACCGCCGGCGCCCACCAACAGTTGCCCGACAAGCACTCTTCACCGCATATCCCGGAGGACGCTTCAGACTCTAAAGACACACGCTTTCAGAAATAGCGCGGAATAAAAGACCTACAATATTGTGATTCAGTAACTTGCACTTTATCTCGCAAGGATGAAAACGATCGTACTTCGACCGCTACATGATACAGATGGGTGGTAAACAAGTACACAACACAAACGCCCCACACTATAATACCACTGCTATCGGGAAGACACAACAGGTAAACGACGGAGTAAAACATTTTCATGACGGACGGGAAGATGATGCGCTACGATCAGTCTGCCTGCCAAAAAATATGTCAAGGGACCCTTACACGAGTCGATCCCTGTTTCCTCCGCCCGAAACACTCGCAACAACAACAAAAAACGGTCACGAGCACCAGTTCATATCCTTCCGTGTCCTTTTTCCGAACTTCGAGGCCTCCCGTTCAGCCCGTGCGGCCCTAGCGTGCCTACGCCGGGTTCTCGAAGCATCCCTTGCACATCAAAACCCCCCCGCCCCCCTCCCGCCCTGCACCGCAGAACGCCTCGCAGGCACACCCTTTTCTTGTCGTTTTCTTGCATCCGGGGTACATGCACTTGCGTTTTGTCTTAATGTGAACGCTCCCCCAAACGTCCTTCGGGGGTTCCGTATCTTTGACCTGTCTCCCCCCCTTGTTGAGGCTACCAACACCGCACCTCCCCATGAGCTCCGTCGACATCTGTTCGTCCCAGTCCGACCTCTCAAGATTGGCCAACCTGCGGAGCTCCTTCACCACTCCCTCCAACTCCATCGACGACTCAAGGTCTAGGTCTCCTCTCTCGAGCCTCTCCTTCGCTTCACCGTCCCAGAAGGCTACCAAAGCCTTG